AACGAAAATACACGTGCATATTTAAAATCAAATCCGCGAGATAAAACAGCCTCACGTTTCAAACCGATACAAATGCAAAAAGACTTAGCAAACACAATACTTACTGACAAGAACATTACATTACATAAACAAGAACTCAGACGATCAAAAACTAACACTCAGCACATCCCACGTGAACAAGATGTTGTTGTTTCAACTAATGATATTACACCTAGTACTAGCAGCAAACAGTGATCAAAATTTTCTTCAAGAATTAAATACAACTGGAATCTTACCTTTTGAATTAGGAAATGCAAAGTTAATCGAAAAATATCATATTTTTATTCATTATGTTAATACAGATTTGATTAAACAACAGATTACTAATTTGGTTACAGATTTTGATACACTTTTATCTATTTTAAATAATAAACATAACGATTATTTGAGAAGATTAGATTCATACATTTCTTTGACAAATACTATGATTAATGCTATTAAAGATAAATATAATATTAATAGACCGATTAGAAGAATTAAAAGAGGTTTAATTAACGGATTAGGTACCATTATTAAAGAAATTACTGGAAATTTAGACTCACAAGACGCCAAAAGGTATGAAGAAGCAATACGCATTTTAGAAATTAATGATGAAAATTATGCAAAAACTTTGAATAACCAAATGACTTTAAATAACAAATTAATTAAATATTTTAACGAAACATTAATTAATATTAGAGAAAATGATCAAATACTAAATAAGAAATTGAACGATATTAATGATTACTTGAAATATGGCAGTTTTAGCCATAATGAATATTTTATAGCTAAAGATAATTTAGAACAAATTAATTATAGTTTAGTTATTTTAGCAAATATTTTAAACGATTTAGAAATATCATTAGATTTAGCTAAGATGAATTTAGTTCATAACTCAGTAATTAAATTAGATGATTTTAATTTTATGATTAATACTGTAAAGAATTTATACAATGTAGAATCATTACCATTTCCCATAGACGATAGTAATCTTCACAAATATTATAATTTACTTAATATTCAATATTATTACACAGACGAAAAAATCGTTTTTCTTATCAAATTTCCAATCACTTTACCTGAAACCTTTAAACACTATAAATTATACCCAATTCCAAATACAGAAAATAGAGTCATTATTCCACCAAAACCTTTCCTTACATTTGGCAACAATAACTATCAATTTGACGATTCAAATTGCAAAGAAGTTTCAGAAAAATATTTTTGCAATATTAGACACATATTATCAAACGATGAAGAATGTATCATAAAATTACTACAACTAGATAACACTCACATCAAAACATGCAATGAAATTCAAGTCAACATTACACACAATATTATAGAGAAAATAAATAATGCACACTATATTCTTTTACTAAGCACACAATCAAGAATCGATATGATTTGCAATCATCAAGAAGAAACTAAGTTTATTAAAGGAATTTTTCTTTTAAAACTCCCACACTTATGTAAATTCAGCATTGACAAGAAAAACTATTACAATCAAGAGTCGTCTACAGAAGGAAAAGCAATAATTTTACCAAGAATTGATTTAAATTATACAAATACAAAACTATCAGAACCAATCTATTCTATCTCTATCTGTCACGTCATGTCTTCATCTATGTGTATTTTGTATGTTTGTATGTACGTAAGCATTACTCACAACTATATTGCAATCGTAATATGCGAAAATTGTAATTTCTATGATTATGGATTCATGAGATTATTTACAAGTTTATCAGATATTATTAGATGATTAATACTACTATCGATAATTGGTAATGTTACAAGTTACTTTATCTACTGTGTTGCTTTTTTTAATATTGTTTTCCATGCTTAACTTCTCCTGACTTGCATTTCTTCTTCTTTTTCTAATATAACTTTTGTTGCTTTTCTCACAATTAATTTTCTGTGTTACAGGGCATTTATTTATTAAATTATTATTGTAAAGCGTCAACAAATGTTTAATTGTATCTATGAAATGTGACGGTTTCATATATTTATTACCATGCCAGATATTGTTCTTTAATATATTGAAAATAATTCGACGGCAGCATTTGAATACAAATGTGTTCTGTCATTATCTAGCATTAGAACTGACCACAAAGGTATAATTGGAAATATACTTGTCCATTACATAATTTAAAGCAAAAACGATTAGTAAATCCTTCTTTCGGCATAATCTTTTCGGCTTCGCATTTAATATGAAGGAAATCTTTATAAAATAGACTATTTCGTAAAAGATCTCGACATGGTTCACGATCATTTATTTCTGAAACATCAGTATCAGTCAAGATTGTCTTGTTTGATTCTGAGTCATTATTTTCAAATAGATTTATTTCCTTGATCTCTAAATCTATTTGTACATTATAATACTTGCTACCTAAAATCCACACAATATGAGTGAACATTTTTCGAGCATGGTTTAAATCTCTACATCTTCCACCTAAAAGAAAAATAATTGAGCTTACAGCTACAGATATTATTTCCTGATTACCATTTGCAAATTTTTTTGCATGATATGACAGTCTCTTTGTGAAATGACTGCAACATAAATGTAATGTTATGTTTTCTGTAAAAAGTTCAGAACTATTATCATTTAAAAACATATAGCACTTATTAATATAATCAATCAAATTTGTATTATTGCAACCTTGAATTATCGCACGAATGCTTGCATAGCTGTGGCAATCTGATTCTGTTGAGATTAGCTTACTTCTCGAGCACGACCACCGCGGCGGCCTCTGTTGCCATGGAAGCTGCTGCTCCTTGCAGAAGGGAGAAAATTACTTCGCGGTGACTTCCTGCCGCGCTGTGTTTTACCGCCCAGTCTTCCGCGGACTGAGCCGCTCCAACTTGCGGTATCGTCCTGGGACTAAAGTAATAATATTATAACAACTTATAGCTAAGTATATTTACGAATGTATTTACATAATATTATATAAATGCTACATTGCATTATCAAGATAAATTTTAAGACTAACGCCCTCAGTATTTTTGAGTAAATTGTTAAATAACTCAATAAATATATACTATCATACGGCACCGTCTTCCACTCTGCTTTAATCTCTACTTGAATTTTATTTAAAACTTCTCCAACTACCTTGGAGCTCGCAATCTGCCATAAGAAAAATCATAATGAAAAATTGCTTAAATTTGTATATAAGTTCCTTATATATACTTATATATAAGATTTATATTTTTTTGTTGAGACAATTATATTTATATTTATACCTTCATCGTCATTTACAATCGCACATAATGCCACTGCATGTCCCAAATATGTAGTGGTCAAGGCGATGTCCCCGAGACTCTCTGGCCTCGGATTTTCAGTATTAAATCTATCATAGTAAAAAATAGAAATATGTAAGAAATCATAGTAAAAAATAGAAATAAATAAGAATTGGATTTAAATTACTTACATTGTCATTTTTTTCATTCTTGACTTGGTGTGAGTGCCCGTGAACAAAATGAGTACTTCCTCCACAGGTATCTTTTGTAACGTTGAGAATGTCAACTGTTCTGCAGCATTTTTAGTTGAGACTAGAGAAAATGTAATACCATCAACTCGGATTTTCTCGCGAAAACAAAGTTTGTAAGTGTAAAACGAAGGAGTAGTCATTACAAACTCAATTATAAAAGTTAAAAATTAAAAAAAGCATGTACCGTAATTACGTTACGTGTTATTATATCCTATAGTATTCTGTACATATAGAATAGAATAGAACTTTATTAAAATTCAATAGTTACAATTTAAGGGGGTTGTTCTTTTTTTATATTTTTTTGTTTCGGTTTTCAGATTTTTGATATTATGAAAGGTAAAAACCTTAGAATTATTTAAAAAAAAAATCATCTCAATATCTATTTTTTTGAAGAAGTTATAGATATCTATATATCTCTATACGTATGATCCTCTAAAAGCGTTTTTTTATCGTTCCGCGAGCTATTGTATGCCAGCTGCCTTTTTTTCATTGTAATACCTCATGCACATGACCTTTTTAATGTGTCAGCATCTTTGAACACCATGGTGTACTTCGTACATTAAATTAAATAGTGTATTTAGTACATTGTATTAAAAACTTTAAAAGCGTTTTTCTCAAATTGACTTTTTTCAATGCGGTGCCACAAATTAAAAAAAAACTACAAGTCGGATCGACTTGCATTTTTTTTTAATTTGTTCACCACTACAATACCTAGTCCCCCTACCTCAAACAACTTAATAACATTACGCAAAAAATTTTTGCGAACCTTCTCGTCCCAAAACAAAAGCCTTTTTGGACACTTTTTTTTAAATAGCTGCCATTTTTTTCCTTCTAGCTTTTTTTCTTTCATTTTGGTAGGGGGACTGGATTCAAACTTCTTCTTCAACGTAGTTTCGTTTTTTTTTTGTTTCAGGCGATGCGCAACGGATTTATATGTGGCACCGCAAACGAGATCGATTTTGCAATGCCCACCTGGATTTCGCGCCACCATCGATTTGACGCCCCCTGGTTAAAAAATGACGGCGAAACAAAAAAAAATAAAAAATTTCTTAATATTCTATGATTTTGTAATTTTTGTTTAAAAAAAACCGCATGTCTTTATGATAAATACATTTCGAGAAAAACAAAAACAAATACCTTGCATGTTTTGTAACAAAAAAAAGAACAACCCCCTTAAGTCATTTACTATACATAATTATTCTAAAAATTCATTTATAAAATAGTAGGGATTATTTAGTAAATAATTTTTAACAATATTTTCAAAGGTGAATCTGGTTTTGCATCTCCATTCATAAGGTAACTTATTATAGATCTTGGCTCCCAATGTAGTTCTTAGCGATGATTTAAGTTTGATTTTTGAACATATCACTGCATTATTATTCCGCGTATTGTGGTCGTGGACATCATTTCTCAATAAATGATTAGTTTTATCAGCTTGCACCGCAATAGCTTGTTGACAAATATAAATGTTTGTGACAGTCAAAATTTTGTGTTTTATGAATAGCGGCCTGCAGGCTCCCGGGGTGAGACACCTTCTATTGCTCTAACCGCCTTCTTCTGTAGATCCATGACTTTAGAAGTATGTGCACTATGTCCCCAAGCTAATATTCCGTATGAAAGTACAGAATGGAACATAGCAAAGTAGGTTTCCCTGGCACGTTCCTGGTTTATTATGGATCGAATTCTTCTGATGGCATAAATGGCTTTCGAGAGCCTTGCGCATAGCAACTCTATATGTTTGGCCCAGATCAGCAAACTATCCATTGTTAGTCCCAAGTACTTAACTTCACCGCCTTGAAGTTCAACATGTCTTCTACTAGCTGTAAAATTAATAGAAACAGTTTTATTTCTATTCAGAACAATTTTATTGGCGAGGAACCACTCTTCAGTTTGTTTGTAAGCATTTTGCCTCTTTTCATTCATAACTTTTATGTCTTTGCTTGCAACTGCTAGTGCCGTATCGTCTGCGAACTGAGTCGAATGGCAATTTAAGTTGGAGGGCAGTTCATTCACAAATATTAGGAATAGTAGCGGACCTAAAATACTGCATTGGACAATTCCAATATCTGGTACTACATCTGCATTACTAAGCTTATATTGCCAGTCGACGAATTGTTGACGATTTGTGAAGTAGGATTGCATCAGCGTTAACGGAACACCTCTCAGTCCATAATCAAGTTTTTTTAGAATTTTGTGCGGTACACAATCGAATGCTTTACTAAGGTCACAAAACAGAGAATCAGTCATCTTTTTATATTTTACCATATGTACCGTCCTTGCGTTGTCAAACCTTAAATTCTCTGGTCAGTTCGTGTGCCTTCTACCTAACTTTTAAAATGTGGTGCGCACATTGGTGCACATTTAGGTTTCACTCTCGCATCGGAATACGGAATTGCGAGATGTACTATACAATAAAAAAAATCGTTTTGAAGAATTTTATATAATTGTTCAGATTTAAAGTCAAGAATTATTTTTTATCGTGCATTTGTGAACAATTATCATTATGAAATAATTAGGATTACTACAATTACATGTAAGTTTTTACACCATACCACTTTCTTATAAATTAGTTTCAATTAATAGTTTTGATCTGTGTTTCTAAACTTGAGTCCACTGAGGATGACACAAAACGATGCGTCGAAACGTATGGAAACAATAAAAATGTTTTAAAAGTCGAGAGTTTTTTGAAAGTTTATTTATTTAAAATCCATACGTTTCGGCTAGCATCTTAGCCATCATTCAGTGGTAATCAAATTAACTATAAAAATTGAAACTAAATGAGTTATATGTTAGAAATTTCATAGAAAAACAATAATGATAATAAGAAAACACTTACAATTTTGTATCCTAATATAGCATATGAAAACATTATTCAAATCCATTGTATGAGTATGTGCACATTGATAAAATATATATTTTTTAACATCACAAATATTAAAACACACTAATAACCATGATAACTTAACAAGTTGTCGAAGCTATGTATTTACTCTTTGGAGTTTAAGATAGAAATGTCACATTTTTTCCCTAAAGCAGTTTTTAGCATGTGTTTAAATTTTACGGGAAATTTAAAAAGATGGGATCTTGTAATTTTTTAAGAAATTTTGGCGCGCTATTAAGAAACCACGTGTTTGTTTCGTTCAGTCGAAGCGTTTGTTTATGACCCTGTCATTATGCAATTGCAAAAACCACCCCTCAGCAAATCTTCTTTTAATTAGGTTCTCTTCAAAATGTAAAATTTTAGGGTTGAAATAATCTATATTATGGTTTAAATTTTTAATATGCTTAGTTAACATCGTCTTAAATTGCTTCGGATTTTTTTAATTGTTTCTATGTTGATGAAGGGTTTGGCTAGTTTCTCCAATATATAAGAGTTCGCAATTAGAGCAATTTATCTTATATACTTATATAAGTTCCTGAGGCGGTCAAAATTAAACTTAGATTTAATTTTAAAATTGAACTAAGGGTTGGTGTCCCAGAAAATTTTTTATCAGATAGTAGTATGGCATGGTCTGTTAAATTTATTATTGTTGCTTTTTTCATTTTAAGAGGGTGGTATGAGCAGTGGCGGATCCAGCTTCGGCGTCAGGGGGGGGTCATAATTGAAAATTTTTTATAGTCCTCAATGAGTATGTAACAAAATTACTATATATATATATATATATATATATATATATATATATATATATATAAGATAGAGCGGGGCTTCGCGGGTAAAAAGGTCCACCACCTTTGTTGTTAAGGATTTATATATTTAAAAGTGGAAGGAAAAATGTACAACTAGTTATCACCCTGATTCTTACGACGTTAAAAGAAGCATTTTACAAGAGATAAATTAAATAAATATTTATTTCAACTTTGCTGGTGAATATTTTGGACAAAATATCAAATTAAGGTTATATATAAAGTTATCTCTGTAAAAATGTATCTATAAAATTCATATTTTTCATTGGTTGAATAATGTAGCTAAACCCCTTTAAAATTAAAAATAGTAAATTGGATTGTTTGTCCTCTCGCCGTCCGATTTTACTCCGTCTATGGGGTAAAAAAGACCAAGTGACAAATTTTTAAAAAACAGAAAAAAAAACACATTTTTACAGTGATGAATTAGCTGGAAGTTGGACTAAAACATAGTCAGATGCTTTTTATTTGATGTGTCCTATTGGTTGTTATGTTTTTTGTTTAGTTTTCATAATATAATTGCTCAAAGTTAAATTGGACCCGCGTAACCTTATATATGTGTATTTTTTAAAAATAATCTGCGTCTTTGACGTGAGTCAAATTTTGACCTTTCCTCGACGTTTTCTCGTCTGAACCGATGTTAAAATTTAAAAACTATAAAATTAAACTGGATAAGCGCTTGCGTTGATTAGTTTTTTGAGAAAATTGGTCGATCCGTTTCTTTACTATTGGCAGAAAAGTGCTAAAATTATCGTCCATGTTTTTGTCAAAAATTCTTAGCCGTTTTTGCTCAAACTATTCGATTGATATCATTTGTAAATAAATGGTTTCTGGCGAAGATCGGTCAAGTCGTTTCTTTTTCATAATAGGCTGTCATTTTTTTGCGATTTAAGTGAAACTTTACATGGCGATAGAGTTTCTGCTCTAAATGAACGTACTAAACTAGGCCTGCGACAAGTGGTTTACTTATGATAATTAAAGTTTTGGATTATTTTCCATCAATGTGTATTATTCAAACCATTTTTCAAAAATCACTACTATATTTGAAAAAAATTGCAATAGTTTCTCACTTCAAAATGGTTTACAGCGATGGACAAAACGTGGACAAAAAAATGCGGACATACAAAATACACACACACACACATATCAATTTTTTCTGAGGTATACCAAAGTATTCAGATATCTTCAAAACGTCGAGAAATGCAAAAAAATTCATTCAAATCTAAAATGATTTTTTGCATTTCTCGACGTTTTGAAGATATCTGAACACTTTGGCATACCTCAGAAAAAATAGATGTGCGTGTGTGTGTGTTTTGTATGTCCGCATTTTTTTGTCCACGTTTTAGGGCGCACATATCAACCGATTTGAATGGTTCAAAAAACTATCGATTCCTATTGATAGGAAGATGAGCTGATTAGTTTTTGGCGAAGGCATGTCCAGCAGTTACGGAGATAAAGAGCAAAGAGTGCAGAAAATAGAAATCGAGGTTTTGAGAGAACGGAGCATCCGATTTGAATGACATAAAAAACATCCATATGTATCCAAAACAACAATTTGTAATGATTGGGAGAAGATATGATTAGTTTTTGGCAAAGGCAGGTCCAGCCATTTCGAAGATACAGAGACAAATGTGCAAAAAATGGTAGTTTTTGAGAGAACTGAGCGACCGATTTGAATGATTCAAAAAACTTTCTGCTTGTTTTGACAAAATAATTGCCTTTGAAAAAAAATTGTTTCAATTTTTTTATTTCAATTTTTTTTTGTATATCGAAAATAATTCAGATTTTAATTTTAATTCTGACTTAAGTTTAAAACTTATATACTTTAAATAAATAGTTTTAACTTTGCAATTCAGTTTATATAATTTTTATAAATATTGGACATTGTTACAGTATTTTTAACAATCTATTTGAAAACATTTAATATTCCTCGAACATTTCGTTACGGTGCGGGTAGTTTCAGCAATTTGCCTTAAGGCACGATGCCATACACCACTATTTTATATGTTGATTAAGTCGTATATTAATAGGATTACTGAAAGTTCATGCATAAAGGCCACTCACAATCAGTTTATTTTTTTGATTTTTGAATGAATTTTTTTTCCTAAACTGTAATAAAACATATATTCGCAATACGATTAGAAAATCCTTAAATTTTAGGGTTTTTGATTCCGCCATTCGTCTACAATCAGTTAAATATTCGAGTTGTAAAATATGTTTGGTACAAAATACATAAATAAGATCATTATGAAGTAATTTTGTTGTTGAATTAGTGTTTTATCTAAGTCCTAAAAGAGGCTCAGGGGGGGGTCATGACCCCCGTGACCCCCCCCCCTGGATCCGCCACTGGGTATGAGTGGTAATTTATGTATCGCCCGGAGCTAGTTGGTTTCTGGTACCAGTTAGTAATTAGTCGGTGGTCATTTGTAATTCCACAGTAAATTGTAGTTTTTTATTAAAATTGTTAAAATTATCAGTAACTATGTTAATGTCTTCTTCCGGAATACAAGTAATAATATCGTCTACGTAGCGGTAATAAAAGATTTGTTTATTATAATTTTTAAATATTTTGTTTTCTAGTAGTTGCAAGGAAATTTCTACTAATGAGGAAGATGCGGGCTATCCCATTGGGGTGCCCAAAATTTGGTAATGAAAGCATCTATAATATATATATATATATATATATATATATATATATATATATATATAAATTAAAAATTGCCAGTTTCTTTATTTTTCGTTGCCATTTCGCGATTTTTCTCTTCAAATAATTTCATATATTTTGTACCATATCAGATTCCATTTTTTTCGCCCATCTTTCTTTCCACCATTTCAACATCATTCACCGTCTTTAAAGGGAAGATAGTATCAAAAACATTCGCTTCATTTTTGGGTAATGTACGGTGTTTCAGATTGTTTTGGTCGCTGATGTCCCCTTCCAAGAGTATCAAACGCTTCAATATTAAATCAAATCAAATCAAAATTATAATATGTATATTGTATTAAACAATATGATAATATACCTTGCACTGCAATCATCTAAGGGCAAGTATGTGGGCAGCTTTCTGAAATCAAATTGTTGTAATTAGAAAGTCTGTTTAATTTACTAACATGAGCACAAGCTTCTGTTATCAATTACCTTTAGCAGCAACAACATGTTCGTCATGTAACACCTCTATCACGTCATGCCTTCTTGTAATATCTTAAGGAGCTACAATAAAAACAAAAAATACCATTGAATTTAAAAAATACATTTGATAATGACTAAAATCATTAAGCTTCAGTATTCAATTACTTTCAACAGCACCAACATCTTCTTCCTCAAATACCTCCTCTATCTCGTTCTCCTTTGTTTTATTAGTTGGAGGAGCTACAAAAAAATTACCATTGAATTTGAAAAACACGTTTCATTAAGACTAAAATCATTAAGCTAAAGTATTCAATTCAATTACTTTTAATAGCAGCAAAATTCTCTTCCTCAAACACATCCTGTACCTCAGCCTCCTTTGTTTTATTAACTTGAAGAGCTGCAATAAAAACAAAAATTACTATTAAATTTGAAAAAT